CAAAGTTTGATTTTTTTTCAATTTTGTTATATATGACGTTCATGCTCTAACTGTTTCTGTGCCTCCGCAGGCTCCGCAGCCTCCCGACGAGGCGCCGCAGTGGAGGGACGCCAGCACCGGCCTGTCGGCGGGTCCCGGAAGCCAGCTCCCCCGCGCGCCCAACCCCACCGTCACCCTGCTGCAGAAGGCGAGAGGTAAGGCCAAACATAAGGTTAAAAAAATTTCCACACTTTTCCGAATAATTTTAAAATTTCCGAAAATTTCCGGAAAACAACGGGAAAATTTTCCAAAGTCTGGGAAATTTTCCTCATTTACCGGAAATTTTTCTGAAACTCTCCAAGGCTTTCAATAATCCTAGCTAAACACACGGTACACAACTAACACGGCCGGAAAAGCGAGAGGAAGCGCTTGGCCGCCAACCACCCCCAGCCCACAGCCCAGGCGGCGCGTGTGTGACCCACAGCGGTGCAGTCTGCACGTGTTCAGCTCAGTGAATCGAATGACGAGAAAATTCCGCACACACGCCCCCCCGCCCGTGTTGTTATTTTTTTCCCCCGTTTTGTTTATAGTTACTCGTTACTGGATACGCGCTTTCGAACTTTGGTATATGAACTCTCCCACCGTGGCACGTGCAGCCGCTTGTCTCTCTCTCTCTCTCTCTCTCTCTCTCTCTCTCTCTCTCCCTCTCCCTCTCTCTCTGACACACACACACTCGCTCTCACACTATTCTTCTTTTTCAGAAGGGCACATACCCCGTGGAGCCCAGTACCTGGACCACGAGAACGCGTCTTCTTCGTCTTGTGAGTTACTAAAGCCTCCCTTTTTTTCTGTTTTCTTTTTCTTTATTGTAAAAGCGCGTTTGAGTCATAGCCACGTGTTGAAAACAATCGGAAAAAAATATCGACGGGAGAATATTATTATTTAGTTCCGGTTCAATTTTAAGGTACTTTCTACTACAAACATAAAAAAAATAAATCTCTAAATAAGTGTGGAACATTAACGATTTCCTTTAATGACAAAGACAGAAAATAAAAATATTCTTGTTAATTTTTTGGTAGTAGGGTGTGCTGTGTTACGCGTTTTGAAATTCTGACACGATTCCAACGGTCGCCGCTCGGGGCGTTCGCGATAATAATTAAATAACCCCCTGCCCTGCTGGCATGCGGACCTCGACGCTGTCCGTCCGGCGCGCCCAGCTCTGTAAAGCTACCCTCCCTGCTCCACCCCCACCATGCCGCCCCCTGCGGTTCCAGAGCCCTCGCGTTGAGCGGGAGGTGTTAAAGATGCAGGAACCGGTGCCGCCGGGCTCTGCAGGATGTTAAGGTCATTAGGCACCCCGTGCTACTGTAATTTTCAAGTTCACCACAAAAGGGGCGTGAGTGGAACCTTTAAAAGTGCGCAGCATACCGACGGCCCCCTTTTTTCTGAGATTATCCCGGAAGTGCCATCATCCCTTGTTTCCTTTTTTCATCCGATTTATTCGGCATAAGATATCGGCAGCTCGGCGCCTGTGAGACTCGGGGTAGGCCACTCCGCTAAGCACGCGTGCGTTGCAGGCAGGATGCTGCCTACCCATCAGGCGCTATGTCAGCTTGCGTCGGCTGAGCTTGGCAAGATCGTAACGCGGCGAATGACAGGACGTGATCTCCGGATGACTTGTTTCAGTTTTTC